GTACTGTATATTCTAAAAAAGTTGTCAGGTCCTCTGGATGTTCAACAACAACAATAAATAAATAAAAAGGGGGCTGAGTGATACTAGCAATAACAGCATTGAAAGAGGGGGACAGCTGAACACGGAGGCCTCCAGAGGACCTGACTTAACTTTTGTAGATTTTTCTACCTGGATTATTGAGCATGCATCAGGATGTACTGTATATTGTTCTGATGTTTGGTTTTATGCTGTTAATAAAGTAAAAAAAAAAAAAAACCTTCCTATTTAGCTTAATGTAATTCTGTTTTTTCAAATGTTGTTGTGATTTTGTTGTTTTTGTTGTGTTTTTTTCAAATGTAATTCCGTTTTTTCAAATGTTCATTTACACCTTAGGGCCACCGTAGGAGTGTTCTGAAAACACCTTTTAACCTTTAACATATGTTTGTTGTTGTTTCTGTGAGTTCTGGACCACCATGGAGATGTTCTTTGACACAATCTTCATGAAACAGGTCCCCTGGAACATCAAACCATTGACATGTTTTACCTAAAGTACTCATGTCAACTGGAGTTTAGGTGTTTTTTTGTTTATTTTGATGACACATCACAGTTATCTCAGTTATCATGGGTTATCATTAGGGCTGACAGTAACAGTACACTTGTTATGACACGTTTGATGAAGCTTTAAGATGTGTTATTGTGCTCAGTAAGTTTTGACCTATTTTTTTCATTTACACAACTTTTTATTTGTGTTTTGTGTAGTATGACACATACTGGATATATTCATACATTTTACGGGTTCTTCATTTTTCTGACTGTGTAAATGTCGTGCATTGAGTTTAACAGAAATGTAACGAGAGACGTTATTTATCTTTGACCCATCAAAATGAATGCGGTCATTTATTTGCAGAATCAAAGTTTAACATCAAACATTTACATTAATTTGGCAAAATATGAAAACAATAATATGGCTAGTTTCACAGGAAGTGGGACAATACGGCGATTATCCTCACTTCTCAGCAGAACAGCAGACATCAATCACACGGCGGTGATTGAGAACTTTGCTTCAGACATTTCTAAAATATCTGTAATGATTTTAGGAGAAAGGAGAGTTTAAGATGGAAAATGGAGATTTATCTTACAGAGAGATGTGTGAGGGAATTTATCTGTTTGACCAGAAACGTGCACGCTCCTTCAGATCTCAGCTTGGCCACGGTACGCTTGGTCGAAGTAGAACTTTTACCTGGTTGATGATATGTCAGGTCGGCGTGAAGTCCTTCTTTTGACTCTTTCAGCGTCTCCGTTGAGAACAGCTAAAATACTTCGAGAGTCGTGCGAGGTTATCCAAACAGAAGTTATAATTCCCAAAATCGTCCCTGCATTCTGGATTCAAGAACTCTGAACTCCTTCAGAGCTCTACTCCTTTAAGCTCTTTTCATCTCGTCGCGTCTCTCTTCGACAGAGACTCGACACAGACATCAGACCTTCTTTTGACACTTCTCCATGAGCTGCATCCGACAGAACTGAACTCTTTAACTCTCTTCAGAGAGTTAAACTCTGGAACTCTTCTCCAGGAAAAACTTTCAAGCTCTGAAAAACTCCGCTCAGCTGAACTGGGAAGTCGCCACATTTAAATGGGTTCGACTTCCGGGTCATTTGAGAGCTTTTTGATTGGTCGATGGACCAGAACAGAGGTGTGGTTTGTGATGTAAGGTGTTATGGAAAGTCAAGGATTGTTTTAGTGACAGACAGAAAGATTATTGGAGAAAACCAGACTTCGTGGAGTCAAACTCTCCTGTATCTTCTGTAAAAGTTAAACATGACATTTCTTTTCAGTAAACTTTTTAGTTGACCGAAATCTGAACTTTAACACACACTTACAAACTTGCTCATTGAAGACAGAAAAATCAAGAAATGCATATTACCCTGATTTCTTCTTTGAATGAGGAATAAAAATCATTACTTACTGTTTATGTAAATAAAAATGAGTAGTTCTCTTCACAAGCTGTAAACATTGTTTGAACTAACACAATTTGATTATCAAACATTTGTAAAATAGTAATGATCATAGAGAATTGTCATTTCTACTTGATTAATTCAAGAAAGAAAGTCTCAGGATGGGTCAAACTGTATTTCTGGATGCAGATCAATGAAATAACAGTTTCTGTCCATCTGGTCAGATTTGACATCAGGTCAAGTTCACTACATTTGCTAAGTATTTAAATGTAGATTTGTTTGGAATAATGCCAGATCATCCTGCATCACCTTTTCTTTGTTTTCTTTTTATTTGCTCTTGTCATGTCGGCCTTCTCTACCTAACAAATATTAGTGTAACGAAAACCAAAATAAGACAAGTGAGGAGAAAAGTTGACTTCAAAATTATTTTAAAAAGTGTTAAACACTGAGTTTTATACGAAATAAACTTAGGTGTGCACCTCTGCCACCTCACTTTCCAGATATCTCATTGTTTTTCTTCTAAAGAGGCATAAATTTTTAATTTACGGACAGTTTGGAAAATGTCCGTGTATGTTCTAACATGTGGGAGGTTTCATGTTCAAACAGACACCCACAGAAAAGTGACGGTGAACACAAATCAATCGATTTGTTTCGTGAACATGAGTCTGTTGTAATCTGACAGTATGAAGTCCAAAGTTCCAAGTGAGTTGAATCCACTGGTGTTTCCAGTAAGACCATTGAAGTAGAATGGCTAACACTAACCTGGAAAAATAAAAATAAAAGAGCAGAAGTCATCAAGGCTAGACTCACTGCTAACCAAACAAAGGTCAGATATTTTCTTAAAATTTTATTTGTCCTCAGCAAGATTCATAAACTGCTCAGTTCATATTGTGAGACCAGCTTGGACTCTCTTAAAGTAAAGTGGGAAATGGACTTGGAGGAATCCATATCAGACTCAATCTGATGAAGGATCATTCAGAACATTTATTCATCCTCAGTCTGTGAGACACGCTGTAATCCATTTCAAGGTGGTGCACTGTCTGCATTGATCCAAAGACAAGCTGTCCAAGATCAAAGCCAACCTGGATCCTGCATGTAACAGCTGTAAACAAACTCCAGCTATACTCTTACACACATTATGGACTTGTCCAAAGCTGTGGGGCTTTTAGCAATCTATTTTTGATGCTTTCACTGGGATATGTGGAAAAACCCCGGCGGACGCATCCTTTAGCAAGTGCAAGAGGGATACGATTGCTTTTGACTCTCTTCTGGGGGACTTATTTTATGCAGATGGAAAGATTCGCATATGGCATATGAACACTGGATAAGAGAAGTTATGTGTTATATTAATTTGGAAAAGATTAGATATACTGTGAAAGGACCCGTTGAGAGATTTTGGGACACTTGGCAGCCATTTACTGTATAAAATTCCATCTGGTGACTGATTCTTATCTACACCAAGAGCTGTACATCTCTCTCAGTGCTGTGTGCTGCCACACGTTACAATGTGAACACCCACGGCTTATACACAAGTAGGGCTTATATATGTACAATTTGTTTAATAGTTTTTAATTATTTAGTGTGCACGGCTTATATTCGGGTGTGCTCTATAGACCGTAAATTACGATATGTCTTATATTAAATGTATGTCATTGCCTGTCTGATGTATTCATGTATGTGCAGCTGATGTGTTATGGGAGGGGATTTTGTTGTATGTTTAATTACTGTAGTGTCCATAACAGTTGACATTTCATAAAAAATGGGAAGGAAACGTTCTTAGGACGACCTCTAGAAAGATACAGAGTATCAGCAGTGCTAATGCCACAGCTTGAGAACCTTGCATTTAGAAAACAAAAATATCAAATTAGAATTTTGTGCAGACTGTTTCAATAAATTATGAAAGAATGTGAAACTTATAGTGAAAAATATGCAAAGCTGTGTTTTTGAAAGAGTGTGGTCGTTCTTAAATGCTGATGCTAGTGGGTCGGAAGAAAAGGCCATTTTATCCATTTTACCTGCTTGATTCCGAACACAAACTGTGCATTCTGATTATCAATAGTGCAAATTCTAACTCAGCATTCACATTAGAGTAGTCCCTCGCTACTTTGCAGTTCCTTTATCGTGTACTTGCGCTATTGTGGTTTTTCAAAATAAGATTGGACATGACACACGCTTGGATGATTGGTGGATGAGCCGCACGATCTGCATGGGATTTTTATTTAAAATAAATGATTAAAATTATTTTGCACCTGCTGCACCTTTGTGCAGCCCACACTGCAGGATAAACTTCCTGCTGCAGCTGATCAGCTGTTCTCCATGCAGAGAAGTGGGTGTGGCCAGGAATGCTTGCAGGTGACAAAGAGCAAAGAAGGCAGGGAGCTGAAATCATGACATTCTGTGCTCTTTTAGAGCATTTAGAAACATTGTTTAGAATATTGCAAGAGTATGGGAAGCATTTAAAACACCTTGATATATTATCTATCTATCTATCTATCTATCTATCTATCTATCTATCTATCTATCTATCTATCTATCTATCTATCTATCTATCTATCTATCTATCTATCTATCTATCTATCTATCTATCTATCTATCTATCTATCTATCTATCTATCTATCTATCTATCTATCTATCTATCTATCTATCTATCTATCTATC